TTTTAAATATTTGGGTAGCTTGTTAACAGATGATGGAAGGTGTACTTGTGAAATTAAATCCAGGATTGCCATGGCAAAAGCTGCATTTAGCAAGAAGAAGAATCTTTTTACCAGCAAACTGGACATAAATTTGAGAAGGAAACTAGTAAAATGCTACATTTGGAGCATGGCTTTGTATGGGGCTGAAACTTGGACACTTAGGGCATTAGATCAGAAACACCTGGAAAGCTTTGAAATGTGGTGTTGGAGAAGGATGGAGAAGATCTGTTGGACCGATTATGTGAGAAATGAAGAGTGTTATTTAGAGTCAGTGAGCAAACGAATATCCTACATGAAATAAGAAAACGGAAGGCTAATTGGATTGGTCATATCTTACATGGTAACTGCCTTCTAAAAGAAGTTATTGAAGGAAAAATAGAGAGGAGGATAGAAGTGACCAGAAGACGAGGAAGAAGATGTAAGAAGATGTTGGATGACCTTGGGGACAGAAGAGGATATTTTCATTTGAAGGAGAAAGCTCTAGATTGCATCAAGTGGAGGAACTGTTTTGGAAGAGACTGCGGACCTGTTGTCATGACAGGTTACATATGAGTGAATGAATTGCAATTATGGATGTCCAAATTTTTTGCCATAAAGCCAATGCCAATGTTAATATATTATAATCTAAAAATTTGTCAGGCATGACGTTCGATTACTAACCCCACTGATAATTCGAAGGAGACTCAAAAGTCAAGACTCAAAATTTGAAAAATAGATATTTGTTATCATATATGGGCTCATAGTTTCTTTTAATGTTTTTATCATATAAACTACTTTGCATAGCTTAGCTCTTAAAAATCGAGCATGGGCGCCCCATTTTAGGTTTTCTGTGATGTAAATACCTAAAAATCTCAGTTCTGACTGATAGGTGATTACTATAGTTTTAAAGTTTAATTATGGTCTTCACGGAACTACAATTTGTTTTGGATGAAATGACATAGCAAATGTTTCTTCAGTATTTATTATACGATTATTTCTTTCAAACCATATTTCTAACTCTCTCATCACGTTTTTTATTTTATGTTGGGGGGTCAACTTCATCTGATCCGATAATTAACAAATTAGTATAATCTGGAAATAAGACCAACTTTGCCCCTCAAACATTTTTCAGTGAGATAATTAAAAAAAAAAAAAACCAACACTGATCCTTGTGGCACGCCATGCTCCACTTTCATACATGACGAAGCATAACTTTGTCTAAGGGGATTACTGCAATCTGTGTCCCCAACCTCGACAAACTCCAACTGATTTGACAAATAAGACTTAAACCACAGGTCTGACTCACCTCTTATGGCATATGAATATAATTTATATATCATGATTTATCACGTAGATTCTAAAGGGTTCTGATGATGATGGATGACACACAGAATTACAGGGTGTTATGCCCCAGGGTTATGGCAAGAAATTGTATTTTTAAAGTTACGATGTTTTCTTTAGGGTTAACAGGTTTAGGGAATTGAACTAGGGAAGTTTTGAAAACCTGGGTAAGAAAGCTTCAATGAACGTAGGAATTTGCCGCGTTGCGCCACACTGCTGACCAACGCGTAAATAGCCACGCAGAGGAGAGCTGGCTAGTAAGTTGCTGAATCGAGGAAGGCGGGTAAACTGGGAGATGCAACCCCCTTCCAGCAACCAGCCAATAGAAGATCCCCATCCTGAGAGACAATTACATCAGGCAGGGAGGAGCGAACCCCTGGAAGCTGATGAGTTTGCAGGGAAAAGACTATAAAATGGCTAGGAGAAACTATAGCAAAAATCTTTTGATCAATAATTTGAGTAGAGTGCTGCCAGAGGCTATTGCCAAAATGGCGTTGAAAGTGTGTTGGCTGGGACCAATCTTCTGCATCCTGAACTCAAGTAAGTGGACCTACCAATTATAGCCATGGAACTTAAGGTGATATTATTAAAGTGTGAACACCCAAGGCTAGAACCAAGAATGGAGGGCAGGAGTAGGATGTAGGAGAAATAACCTGTGAGTGCCAGGTACAGGAACCTGCAGTCAGCTGAGAAAGGTTAAGGATATTGGATCCCAGTGTTTATTCATTTACTGATATGTGTAATTTATGTTACCAACCAGAGTAAGAGTGTAATGTATATATACAATATATGTATATATATACTCAGTTCACCCTTGAATCATCTATGTAATAAATCTTTATCATCAGGTACTTTTCCTCAACGCTTAAAATACGCTATAATGAAACCACTTTTTAAAAAAGGAGAGAGAAAATGCATCTCTAATTACAGACCAATATCCATATTGACTTCATTCTCAAAAGTCTTTGAAAAAGTTATGTATAATAGACTACTTGAACACTTAAATTCTAACAACATATTAGTCAAAGAGCAATTTGGATTTAGGA